GCGAGGCCAGAAGGCTTGGGAACCGCAGCCCGCTCCATCTGGCCTCCTTTCGATTGACAGATGGGGAGACTGAGGCCAGGGAGCGCTGGCATCTTGCTCAGGTCACTCAGTCAGCGAGGGCTGGACGGGGCTGCGACAGACACTCCCACGCCCCGCCTGCCTCCCCCCAAGGACAGCCAGTTCTTCAGGTCTAGATGCCAAGTGTGGCTCCTCCAAGCCCCGCCATCTGCCTCCCCCCTCGCAGCCTCTGTTCTTTCTTCTCCAGCCAAGACTCGCCCCGCGGCTTTGCCCAGGCAGGTCATGTGGGGCTGGTCAGGTGCGGCTTCCCGCGTGGCTGGGGACTCCCTCAGGCAGGGCCGTGGCTCCCTCCACCCAGCACTCAGTCTTCCATCTACAGGGGGACAACAGGGCCCTCCAGGAGCTCACCACCCTCCCCACACCCTGGCCAATGTGGCCTCCAATCCCTGGTCCAGGCCAGGAGAGGCAGGGGTTKCCTCAGTCCCCACGATGGTCCTTGAGCTAAACCCCAAGACTCCTCAGGCTTCCCACCCCCAGCTGCTCAAGACCCAAGGCAGAAACCCAAGAGCTCCCGTCTCCTGCAGGGGGTGACCCCAACAGAGGCCGGAGAGAGGGGCCGCTCAGGAGTTGGCGCAGGCAGGCAGGCCAGCAGGAAGCCGAGACAGTCGGCCATGAACACCAAACAAGGCCATGGACCCACCTCTGCCTAGGTGACAGGGCCATGCCTGGTGTGGGAAAGGCAGACCAAACCTGACCACAGCTTTCCAGAAAGGACACCAGCCCCCAGAGGCCTCTCCAGGCCTAGCACCCCTGAGACAGCCACCCCTCCCCCTCCCGGAGCCCTCTCCAGCTCCCCATGTTCAACCAAGACCCCGCCAGAGCCACCAGGCAGCCTCTTGACCCCTGTCACTGTTACCTACACTCCCTGGGGCCCCAGAGGCTCATCATTTCTAAAACCCAGCCTCACCCAATGCCTGCGGACATTCACACAGGCTGCTCCTCTGCCAGGACCGTCCCTCCTACCTTTGTTTGGTACTAGGGGTGCTTAGTGACACCCATATCTCCAGCCCTTTAGAGACAGAGTCTCGCTAAGTTGCTTAGGGCCTTGCTAAATTTCTGAGGCCAGCCTCAAATCTGTGACCTTCCTGCCTCAGCCTCCAGAGCTGCTGGGATACAGGCGTGTGCCATCTGGCCTTCCTACTATTTTAACAGCTCAGTTGTCACCTCCCCTGAAAGCGCTCCACGACAAGACACTCTAGGCAGAGGGGTCTCCTACCCCCARGGCTTCTTTTTCTTAGTGATCTGAGCCTCCTGGGCAGTGCTTGCCAGCTCAACTCTGTCCTTCTCACTGGACCAAGTGCCCCTGAGTGGGACATAAGCTGGCACAGAGCAGGGGACTTGGTATTTGTGGAATGAATAAGTCAGCTGGCCAGGGGGCTCTGCCTTCCCCCGGGGCCTCTTCCTGCTGCAGTAAGTAGGCTCCAGAATTTCTCTGCAGGACGCCTGACATGCAGCCTGGTGGGGAACAGGCGAGGGGGCTCCTCGGGAGGCTGCTGCATCTGCAAAGCGAGCCGGGCTTCTCCAGTCAGGATCCACTGGGGATGATGGTGGGTTGATAGAACCCAGGTCTGGCCTTGCCCAGCCTGGGGAAACAGTGACACAGAAGGGCTCAAAGAGCCTTGGTCAAGGGAYACACCAGGCTGAGGGCTTCTGTGGCTCAGGGTCCAGGGCGGGTCCTGCTCTGGGGAGGTCCAGCAGCTTGCCTGGTTTAGGAGCCCTCCTTAGGAAAAACAACAGAAAACCACCTTTCTTGTAAGATTTTAGAAAACCAGAAGTCTAGGTGCACATACTGGTGGGGACTTTCAGAGCTGCGGTGGGGGCCTGGGTAGTACCGGAGTACCAGCTCAGTTCTCTGGAAATGAGGGGCTCCCAGGATACAGGACTTCCAGYGCCAAACCCAGGAAAGTTCTTGCAAGCCAGGATGCATCAGTCACCTGCATCTCAGAGTTCAAGCTCCATCAGCTTCGCAGGGAAGTCCTCTGGGTGCAGGGGGACTGGGAGCTCTGAGGGCCCTTAGCTGGTTGCATCTGCCCCCAGCGCCCAAGTGACTAAGATGTCTCAGCACACCACAGACTGCTGAACGGCAGCTCCTCCTAGACCCTTCACATGGGTGTTTTTGCCCAGTTTTCTCTATTGTGGTAAAATACATGTCACATGAATTTTGCTGTCTTCATCGTTTCTTTTCTTCTTTTTCTTTTTTGTAGGTTGGGGATAGAGCCAGGGCCCTGTGCATGCCAGGCAAGTGCTCTATCACTGAGCTGCCCCCCTACCCCAACTTCACCACTTCTAAATGGACAGTTGAGTGGTATGAAGCACGTTCATGTTCCTGTGCAAACATCGTGTGTGATTTCTATATTTTCCAATAATCAGCAGGTATTATTATGATGACCAGAAAAGAGAACTATTTATTTCTTGCAAAGCTTATTTACAGGTGCACACCTGCAATGCCAGAGACCCGGGAGACTGAGGCAGGAGGATCACAAGTTTGAGGCCAGCCTGGGCAACTCAGTGAGATCCTGCCTCAAAATGAAAAATAAAAAGGTCCGGGGATGGAGTTCAAAGGTAAAGTGTCCCTGGGTTCAATCCCCCCCCTCTAAAAAAAGGTGTCAATGAGCCTGTATCAGATGTCTCTGCCCCAACAAAGATGAGGAGCACTTTGTATCTAGGTGTATGGAGCACTGCTGGGAGGTGGAGGGAGAAATCTGGGCATTGGATGGGGGTTGYTTGATACCCCTTATGTCCTTTCCAACCCGAACTTCCAGGATTCTGCACTCTTCCTTTACTGAGTATTATTTTTTGGTACTGSGGCTTGAACCCAAGGGCACTTTACCCCTGAGCTACAGCCCAGTTCTTTCTTTCTTTCTTTTTTTTTTTTTTTTTTGGTGGTGCTGGGGATTGAACCCTGTGCATGCAAGGCAAGCACTCTACCAACTGAGCTATATCCCCAGCCCCCAGTTCTTGCTTTTGAGTCAGTCTTGCTAAGTTGCCCAGGCTGACTGTGAGCTCGCCATCTTCCTGTCTCAGTTTCCAGAGTCTCTGGATTACAGGCATGCGCCACCATGCCAGGCTTCCTCTGCCACTTTCATGCTCAGTAGCCTGGGACGGGGACTGCCTCAGCTCCTCAGGTGTTGGGGAGCTGCTGCGCCTGCCCACGATGGGTACTCCATCCAGCTATTTTTCTTTCTCCTGCCTGGAATGTCCTTCTGTCACCCCAATGTGCACAGTGCAAACCCTCCTCCTCCTGCCAACTTGACACCCCCTTCTCCATGCAGGCCACCAGTTCCAGGGCAGGGAGACTCCCCTGCCTCCCATGACCTCAGCCTGGGGGCACCTGGCCCTCTCTCCAGTGGGACTGTGGGCTCCCCAGCACAAGGGCTGTGTCTGAGTCATGCGGCCCTGATTCCCTCAGGGCCTCACAGACTCAATAAAGCTCTGCTAAATGAAGCCATCACAGGAGAAATGACCCAAGCAGATAAAACAGCACACCCCCACACAAGCCCAGCCTCCCAGGCCAGAGGCCCTGGGGCTGGCAAGTGGGAGCAGTGCACACAGCCAGCGAACTTGACCAGACAGGTCCCCAGGGCCCACATCTTGCCGCAGGCCTGCTGGGGTCTCTAGGAGCCCCAGATGAATTCAGTGCCACAAACCCTTGTGGATATGCCTGGGGTGCCAGGACACAAAGACAAACAGAACTGGGCTTCTCTACCCTTAAAACGCTCCCCATCTGGTGGGCCACCCTTCCTATGGCCTCAGGAGGGGGTTTTAACTTTTTTAGATAAAGAATTGCTTCCACTTTGGGAGGCCAGAGATAAGTAAGTACCCAAGCTGTCTCACCTACCAGATCCTGATATGGCCCAGAAAAACCCCAGAAAGAAAGGCACTTCCGAACGGTCCGGGTCACAAACAGTCCCCTGACAGTCTCCAGGCCCAGAATCCCCAATCCAAGCTGGTCTTGTCCGGGCCCAGCAGTAATGTGCCCCAAGACTACAGAGGCAAGACCTTCCTTGTGTTTCACAATGACCAACCAACCTCAGGGAGCCCCAAGCACCCCCCCAGCCGTCTTTCCCTGGGATGTTGAACCCCCACTCTGCCCACTGTTTGGGGATTCAGATCCCCAGATCTGATTAAGAACCCACTCAGCACTGGGGGTCCTGGGCTTCACTGGGCTGCAGGTCCAGAATGGGCCCCTGTTTTCACTGTGGGGAGGGGATCTTCCTCCCAGACACATGCGCCCCAGAGACATCCAGGTGTACACTAGGCGGGGTTAGGGATTCATAAAATGTCAGCGGCAAGGGGGCCTCAAGGAGGCTCCGCCCACTTGCTCTATAAATAGGGAAACTGAGGCATGACAGAAGAGGTGGCTCTCCCCACCTCGGACCTGAATTTCTCCTTTCCAGTTAACATTCCCTGGGTGGTTCCCTGCCCAAGGTCACGCCGCGAAGGAGATGCAGATCCTGGTGGAAGCCAGGTATCCTGCTCMGCTCCAGACCCCTCGCTCCGCATCTTCCCAGCCGGGCCACAAAATCCCGGTCCCCTGTCCTCTACTAGAGCGTCCAGGGCAGGCGCGGCGTGCGCCCCGACGAGGTGATCCACGCCCTGATCCGCTCCCCTCCTGAGGCCACCTGACCTGTAAGGGGTCCCCACGGTCGCGCGCCACCGGAGCAGCTAGCTGCAGAGCCGCGGCGCGAGGTCACGCGATGGGGGCGCGGGGCGCACAAGCCGGGGGCCCCGGGAAACGGGGTCCTCCGGAGCCAGCGCCCCGGGCACGGGCTGGGGAATGGGGGACGGCGGCGCCAGCGCGGCCAGCAGGGCAGCTCCCGTCCGCGGCCGCGTCTCCGCGGGGCCCGGTGGGGTCGGGGTCTGTCCCGGCGCGCCGCCCTCCACACCCCACCGGCCTGGCCCTGCCACCCGCCTGTCCTTACCCAAGACACGACGCGCAGGATGGTGTGCGGCTGCCGGACCAGGGTGTGGGGGTCGAAGGCGCCCCCGGCTTTGCCCGCTCCGTACGCACCCCCTTCCATCGTGGCTGCACCGCGCGGCGCCCCCCGCTCGGCGCGCGCCGCCGGCCCGTGCGCGTGCGCGTGCGCGGCGCCCCCGCCCCCTCCCCTGCGCGCGGCCGGTGCGGCCCAGGGCTCCCGCCAGGGGGCGTCGTGCGCGACGGGCCCAGCTCGCGGACGCGGGCGGGGTCTGGGCGGCGCGCGCCCGGCTCGCGGGGGACGCGCGTGCTGGGGGCGCGCGTGCTGCGGCCCCGGGCGGAGGACGCGCTCGTCGCTAGCGCGGTGACCTCTTTGCAAAGTGAGGGGGAGGAGTGGAGTGTGCAGCCCGTACGGACGCGTCCCGTCCCGGGCGCCCTAAAGCCCTTGGCTCTGCCTGAAACCAACTCCGTGATTATGCATGGGTTTGCCCTTTTCCTGTCGCCGTCTGCCCCAAATATAGAGGAAAGGGGGCGCCTCAGTCCCCGTCACGGAGTGTGTGGCACACAGTAGGCGCCGCAGGGACATACACCGCGTGAGTCAGAGAGCCGGGAATGAGTAACCTCCTCCCAGAGCCCCCAAGGCAGCCCCGCCTCCCGGGACCACCTCTGCACCTGGCTCCTAGGTGACGTCATGCGAGTCCCAGCGCCACCTCCACCCGCTCCTGGAGCGACCCGGCCCAGGGGCAGAGACTGGGAAAGGACAATAAATTCTTTGTCAGACTTCCGTCCTCGTTCCCATCACCCTGCCCCCTTCCTTAATTCGTGATTAATTATGTAATTATTTTTCGCTGTCTCTGCTAGTCTCTGTGCTGCCGATGCTCAGATTTTTGTGTCTTGTTCACTGCTGTCTCCAAGGGCCTGGCACACAGTAGGTGCTCAATAAACACACCTTAGTCCCCATCACGCTATCACAGCTTGGGCTACAGCTCCGGGTTTTACGGAAACAGAGGCTGGAAGGAACAGTTCTGGGTGCAGTGGAAAGGGCAGCCTCCCAGGTCTGGCGCCCTGTGGAGCCGGTCTCTGCCTTTCCCGACCTTCTGATTCCAGAGCAGTTTGGACAAGAATGTCTGCAGAGACTTTTGCCACCCTGGTGTCCGGTCATCCCAGAAAGATCTGTGCAGAGGAAATGCGTGGTGGGGCTGAGGGCACCTCTAACATTGAGTAGGCCGATGTCCATCTTAGACTCAATTTATTGTTTACTTTCTACCTGGTCTGTGCTAAGGGGTTATCATTAACTATCACATTTAGTCTAGCAAATTTATGAAGTAGCAACTCACATTATATAAAACTTCTAGAAGCTACTCAGGAGGAGTACGGTACGAGTTTAAGGCAAGCCTGGGCAAATTAGCAAGACTATGTCTCAAAATTAAAAAAAATATATATATATATATATACAGAGAGAGAGAGAGAGAGAGAGAACGCTGGGGAATATAGCTCTGAGGTAGAGCACCCCAGGTTCAATCCCAAGTACCAAAAACAAAAACAAAACAAAAAAAATATTGTAGAACAAGAAAAAACTCTTTGTGACTTGGGGATTAGGCAAAGAGTTCTTAGTAGATACCAAGAGTAGATTCCATCAAAGGAACAATCGATCAATAAATTGGACCTTGTTCCTTGAAGGCACTGCTAAAAGAAGGAATGAC